CTAGATGCCAGAGCTGCCTTGAAACAGGAGCAGCCGCTGGATCTTAAACCATCCTAAAAACACCTCTTCAATATTCCATCTCCTCTACTGCAGGAAAAAAGGTAAAGCACACAGGATTTGTGTGATTAAATATAGCTGTTGACATAATAATAATAATAAGAAGAAGAATAATAAGAATAATAAACCAAAACAACAAAATATAAAACCTTCCAGGTAGGACCTTTTCATTTGCCTACTCTGCTCGGGAAATTCTTACTAAATGTACATGCCTCATTCTCCTAGGAATGTCTATTGCCTTATGGATTCACCTTTTCTTGCAGAGAATAGATAAACATGTGCCACAGTATGAATTTCCATGAAAACTAGACAAATGCAATCACAAGATGTCCATCATGAAGATGTCTCCACTAGCTGGGACCCAGTAATCTTTAGACCTAACTTGATTCAGGCCCTCATCTGTGGCACTGAGTCTCATAGTCTTTATACACTTCCACCTAGTGTTTCAAGTAAGTTGAAATACGGACATCTAATCTTACATGGGAAAGAACAGAGCTTTCTCGCCTGTGGGATGACATCTCAAAGGCACACGATCTACTTGCTGGAGTTGAGCTGATGTCCAAGGGGCGTCGGGGTCTCGGTGTCAGGCTTTCTTTTCCTCAGTGTCCTTGGCATGGCTACTGCCTGCCTGGCCTGCCCAGGCCCTAGAGGGTGGAGCGAATCTGCAGACCCAGCTGTGGCCCAGCAGGAGCTTGGGGCCCATGGGAAGACAGGCCATCCCAGCAGGCAGTGCCCGAGAGGTGAGACGCAGCCATGCTGCGGGGCAGAGTGTGGCATCGGGATCCATGGACGCAGGCAGATGGAGAGTGGTAGGAAGGGCTGCGCACTGCCCACAGGAGGAGAGAACTTCACCAGGGAGTGGCCTCTGCTCAGGTAGAGAGGCCGTGGGGAAGTCAGCCAGGTGGAAGAAGGGAGCCCTGCAGGTGGGCGTGATGGGACTGCAGACCGAGGGCCAGGGAGGTGCACTCCAGAGGGGTGGTGCAGGAGAGACGAGAGGAGCCTGCAGGTGCCCAGGTAGTCAGGAGAGTCATCTGTGCAGCCAGGAGGGCAGGGGGCAAACAAGAGGAAGTGCCAAGATGATGGGAAGGTCTGAGTGCTGGCGAATTTGGAAGCTGGGAATAATCAAAAGGAGAACACGGGCAGAGCCCACTCGGGGGCTGGGAGCCTGACAGGACTAGGCCCCCAAGGGTGGGGTGTGTTGCCTGGAGACACAGCAAAGTGGAGACACAGCAAAGTGGAGGCCAGGGGGTGGCAACTTTTTCTGGAGAGGATTTCATAGCAAATGTTTAGGCTTTGGGAACTCTGCGATCGTTTTTGTGGCCACTTGGCTCTGCCCTGTACTATAGGAGCAACCGCAGCCTGCCCACCAAGCCCTGAGGGCAGCCAGGTGCCAATGACACTCTATCCATGGCATGGCAACGGAATTTCACATAGCTTTTATATATCAGAAAATATTATTTGTCATTTGTGTTTTTCTCCAATTCTTTAAAAATGTCAAAGCCATTCTTAGCTCACCATACAAAACAGGGGGGTGGGGCTGTGGCTCGGAGCTCCTGGGAGAGGGCGGGGCCCAGATGCCCCAGTGGATGTTCCATCCTCCTCCCCATAGCCCCTCCGTCACCCTGCATGGATTTCTATTTCCTACAGACAACGTGAAGCCCCTTCCTCAGCAGCCCCCGCGGCTTTCCCTGTTCTTCCTTCTCATGGGTCTCCGTCCTGGCCTCCAGACCACTGGCTGTGCTCACCATCCTGTGTGTTTCTCTACCTTTGTATGATTTCTGCTCAAACTCTGTGATCTCATCTAAAGTTTGCCACTTTGGTAAAGCGCATGCTGATCTTGCAGGCAGAGGGACTCCTCACTTCACTGGGCACCAGTGTGTGTTTCACTGTCTTGTGTATCCTGAGGGAAGGAATGATGGACTGACAGATGGGTAGGCAGACACACGGACACACAGACACACAGACAGACACACAGACACAGATGGTCAGGTGGACAGCAAGCACTTGTGTGCTATGTCTGGAAGGATGCAGCTGGTGAAGTGAAGATTTTGTGAGTGGTCTGATCACAGCTGATATGATTTAAGGGATGATTCTCCCAGGCTGCAGAGAAGGTCCTATGTTCTATTTCATTCTATATCTGCATGGCCCTGACCTTTGGTTGCTAAGAGCTGTACTTTTCTCCCTTACAACAGAACCATTTCTTTGTCTCTTTTTAGAAGCAACAAGTCAATTCTTTGTGCACCTGAAGCAAGTATTGGCAAAGATTCATTGGAGGGTACCTGCAGGCAGCAGTCACTCTGCAGTCAGAATCTGCCACCTGGTGCCCAGGAGTGGGGGCCGGACCCCCTCGGATCACACCCCATCAACAACCCTACCAGCCAGTGTCCTAGTGGGCACTTTCCAGGATGCTTTTAAAATCTGTCAGATGAGTCTAGTGAAATGGAAACAGAGTGTCACTAAAAGCCCAGACTTCATATCCACACGATACATCTGCGTAACACTTGTGCCTCTAAAATCTACACAAATAAGCGGAGGGTCGGCTCATTTTCTCACTACATTGTGGTAAGAGGCTGCATTTCCTCTGCTCTGTTTTCCCGAAGCCCTAACACTGAGCTTTCAGCCTGTCTGCTCAATAGACGCTTGTTTCCAGGCGGTCGGCTGCAAAGCATGGCTCAGCCTTAGTGTCCACAGCAGGGCCTCTGCCGGGCATGTGATGATCAATGCCAGTAACTAACATGTGATGGTGCCACCGAGCGCATCCTCGCACCCGTCCCGTCTCGGCTGATCTTCACTGCAGCCTGGCGAGGTCAGCAGAGGACACTCCTGATTCCTCTCTGCTCCTGAGGAAACCCATACCGTGCTGGGCTAATTTGTCCAGTAGCATCCGGCTCCTAAGAATGGCACCGAGAATATGCTCAGTGGATTTGACTTCAGGTCCCCTCAAGGCACCGTGACCCTGAGACTGCTCTGTTGCTCACAACTTCACCCAGAAGCCCCCTTTCCTTCTCAGGCTGGAGTCTAACCTTAACAATGAAGCTCAAGAAAGAAATCAGCCCACACGGAACAAGAACAGCAAAAAAACAGGTGCGTAAAAATGAACCTCTAATGAAAGAATGGATCAAATCCCGGTAAAATGTCAATGAATTGGAAATCATATAAACAGCCTTCAATTATGAGAACTTAATTTCTTTTCATTCTTCACTTGTAGATGAACAAATGAGATGATAAGAAACCTGAAATTATCACAAACCCAACAACAAACCAACAGAACTATTTCTGTTATACCCTACAGTCACTCCTTCTATTCATTCATGTCCGTGTTTCTGACCAATATATGATAGCTCCAAGAAATACTACACTTCATTCATTATACAAATAAATTGTTATTAAGGCAAGAAATACCATAGCTTAGAAAGGTTTGCGGTCATTCCTGTAGAATGATAAAAATGGTTTCTGAACTCCCCAGCATTCAGTTTAAATATTGTGTGTGTACTGTGATTTTAACTAAGTATCCTTTTCTTTGTTTTTGATCCAGCGTCTCGCTCTGTCCCCCAGGCTGGAGAGCAGCAGCACATTATCTCAGCTCACTTCAACCTCTGCCTCCCAGGCTGAAGCAATTCTTATGCCTCAACCTCCTGAGCAGCTGGGGTTACAGGCATGAGCCACCATGCCTGGCTAATTTTTGTATTTTTAGTAGAAACGAGGTTTTGCCATGTTGGCCAGGCTGGTCTTGAACTCTTGACACCAAGTGATCCACCTGGTTCAGCCTCCCAAAGGGCTGGGATTACAGGTGTGAACCACTGCACCCTGCCCTAAATATCTTTTTCAAAGAAAAGCTTGATGACCTTTTTAAAAAAACTATTTCCTTCCCCTGTGCTAGAAAGTATCATGACAAGATTTCTAAATCATCAGAACATTTACACCCCAAGTCCCAATTGGTAAAACTTGGCAATTACGTCTATACAGCCTAGAATTTAAAGCAGACACACAGTTAGATAAATAAAAAAAAATTAAATAAATAGAGTTTTCCCCTCTAATGAAAAACTACTTACCAACTAGCTTTGTAGTGAAATGGTAACTAGTTCACACTCTTGGTAGTGGTTCAAATAAGCATTAGTCAAAATAAACCACCCTTTTCCCGTGAAGCCCGTGGCCCTGCGTTTGTTGCATGAGCTCTATTTTGTTGGTGCCACGGCAGCCACAAGCCAGCAAGGAACAAAGCTCTGGCTCCGCCGGCAGTACCCCAGGCTGGGCCTTGTTTTGCTCCATCGTCCCCAGTTACAGGGGGGACCCAGGTCCTGGTCTTGCTGTGAAGAGGCTGGGTGATAAGGAAGCCACTAGCTCTGGTTGCACAGGAATCACTGGTGAGCTTCTCAAAAATGTCATCGTGTCATGCAGGGAGCCCTCCAGGGATTCTGATTTCATTGGTCATGAGGGCAGGTTGGGCATAAGAATTAAAAAAAAAAAATCTCCCCGGATGGTTCTCATGTGCATGCAAGGCTGAGAACACGAAGGAGATGGGTGCAGAGCTCCTCAAAGCTCCCGGGAGCCGAGGGCTGCCTGCTGGCTCCCCCTGCACTGTCTGTCTCAGGCATTTATTTAAAGGAAGCGTATTAAGATAAGGGTACTGTCTTCCCAGTACTACAAAAGACAACGAGCCAGTCCATCGCTTCTCCCTCTCCACATTCCACGAGCAGCCGAGTGCGCTGTCTCAGAATGATCGCGGGGAAACCATCACCTTCCTTCCCCTGAAGGTTTGTTCTCCTACAGCTGTGCGGACCTGGGGGGCTTCCAGCTCCTGGGCTGTGCTACGAATATCCTGTTCTTTTGGTACCCATCGAGTGACCACCACCGCTCAACTAACTTGTAGGACATTGATATACACAACAACAACATCATCAATGGCAACGTGTCTCTCATGTAGAAGAGTGTGCACCTCCTACCATCATCATATCCTTTGGGGGATATATCCCTGGTTTGCACCTTGGGAGCTATGGCTCGCTTGCCATAAGTATGGCTGTCGTAACTGTTGTATTCAAACGAGGTCTTGGAATATTTCTCGAGCTCCTTGGCCAGGTTGGAACGCGGCGTCGTTGTGGGGACATTGTTTCTGTAGCCATACTGAGGAATCTCCAGCTGCTTCACAAAGCACATTGGCCTGGAAGTGAACAAAACAAACAACAGCTTGCTTTCCTGTGGCTTTGCACACGACGAGCTTCACAGTAAAACTAGAATATCCTACTTTTTAAAATGGATTACCTTTCACTAAAACTAAAACTTTTTTATTTTCTGAAGAAAAGACAAAGTGTGTTTTAATTATATAGCACCAGATAAACTGCCTAAAAGTCAACTTTGGCAATAAAAAAGGACAAGAAATAAAATCTTTAAATATGTTCCCGTTTCCTTCTTTCCTGTAAGAGGTCTGGTGGCATGGTGATGACATGAAATATGAGGATGGGGACAATCTCAGTTCTGAATTTTCTTTGCAGTGGTTACAAAGAGTTGCTGAATTATACACAAAGACGTTGCCTCAATAAGAAATTCTGCTTAAAAAGTAAGAGGAAGTAAAGAGATACTCTTAGGGACAGACTGAGACAGAATCAGATCAAAGTGTACCTAACTGGACAATGAGGTAGGCTAGGTGGTAATGCACCTTGTCAAGTACTAGCCTATGCATTCAATATTTTTACCTAGTAGTCATTTCTTATTGTCTTTGGAATAAAATGTTTAAAAGGAAGGACAAGCTGGGCGCGGTGGCTCACGCCTGTAATCCCAGCACTTTGGGAGGACGAGGTGCACGGATCATGAGGTCAAGAGATCAAGACCATCCTGGCTAACACAGTGAAACCCCGTCTCTACTAAAACTACAAAAAATTAGCTGGGCGAGGTGGCAGGTGCCTGTAGTCCCAGCTACTGGGGAGGCTGAGGCAGAAGAATGGCAGGAACCCGGGAGGCGGAGCTTGCAGTGAGCCGAGATCGAGTCACTGCACTACAGCCTGGGCGACAGAGCGAGACTCTGTCTCAAAATAAATAAATAAATAAATGAATAAATAAAAAAGGAAGGACACCAGGTCATTGCTCACTCATAGACATTGTGTCGTGTGTGTGTGTGTGTGTGTGTGTGTGTGTGTGTGTGTGTAGGTCCACCTCTTTATCTGTCTAGCTCATAAGTGGAGTTTTTAGACTTTATACTTAAAACAATTTTAGACTTGCAGAAAAGTTGTACAGAGGTTTTCTTTATACTCTGCCACCAACTTCCGCCAACGTGACCATCTTCATAACCATAAGACAAGAGCAAAACCAGGCGATTAACATTAGGATGCAGTTCTTTCCTAAACTAGAGGCTGTATTTGGATCTGATCAGTTTTTCCACTAATGTCCTTTTTCTGACACAACCATGCAGGGTCCCACAGTGCATTAAGGGTCCTGCGTTCTGTCCTCCCTACTGACAGCTCCTCAGTCTCACTGGGCTCAGGGCTTCATGGAATGGACACTGAAGAACTGCTCAGATATAGACATGTCTTTTTTTTTTTATTGAGATAGTCTCGGTCTTGTGGCCTGGGCTGGAATGCAGTGGCGTGATCTCAGCTCACTGCAACCTCCGCCTCCTGGGTTCAAGCGATTCTCCTGCCTCAGCCTCCCGAGTAGCTGGGACTACATGCGTGCACCACCACCATGCCCGGCTAATATTTTTGTATTTTCAGTGGAGATGGGGTTTCACCGTGTTGACCAGGCTGGTCTCAAACTCCTGACCTCAAGTTATTCACCCACGTAGACCTCCCAAAGTCCTGGGATTATAGGCATGAGCCACTGCGCCCGGCCATAGATGCATTCTTAATCATAACATCCTACAGTCTCATCTGCCATCTTTGTGTTTTTCTCAAGTGATTATCCTGCCTCAGCTTCCCAGGCAGCTGGGATTATATCATGAGCCACGACGTCTGGCTAATTTTTGTATTTTTAGTAGACACAGGGTTTTGCCAAGTCGGTCAGGCTGGTCTTGAACCCTTGGCATCAAGTGATCCATTTTCAAAAAAATAGAGACCTTTTCACATCAGCATCATTTCACACACTATAAAGCTAACAAAACAGTGAATTTTAAAGGCAGAGAGTTTCCTGTTGAATTGTTGGCATTCTAAACTATATAAAATGTATTCCAACTAAAAACCCAACCAAGCAGGAAGAAACAAAAGGTGGTGAATTCATGTATTAGTGTGAGGTTCATAGTCAGCTTAGGAAGGACAGTCATTTTTTTTAGACGTAGTTTCACTCTGTTGCCAGGTTGGAGTGCAATGGCACGGTCTCGGTTCAATGCAACCTCCACCTCCCGGGTTCAAGTGATTCTCCTGCCTCAGACTCCCGAGTAGTTGGGATTACAGGCTCCTGCCACCACGCCTAGCTAATTTTTCTATTTTTAGTGGAGACAGGGTTTCACCATGTTGGCCAGGCTGGTCTCCAATTCCTGACCTCAGGTGATCCACCCGCCTCAGCCTCTTGAAGTGCTGGGATTAGAGGCGTGAGCCACCACGCCTGGAGGAAGACAGTAATGTTTGAGTAAGATCCTATTTCTTGATTACTAGTATCAGTAAGATCTGCAAATATTGCCTGTACCTCTAGCGTGAATGTGAAATTTTAGCAGATGTATGAAAGCATGATATCAGCAGGTACAAATGTGTGCTGTTTAGGAAGGAAACTCTTTGGCAACAGACGTGCAGACAGTATTCTGCTTGTTCTCCCTGGGGACGGAAACCTGAGGGGTTTTGATCTGTTCCTTTCCTAACTCATTTTCCACAAGTATTCTTCTGTGTCTGAATAAATATATTTTCTCTCGAGTCCTCACTCTCTTTCTAAAGGTGACGCACACAGGCACACCAAGATCAGCTATACTTGCCTTACAGGTAACAGGTTTAAAACTATTGTCTTGCTTTTTAATGATTATTTTCATGATTATGTTTTGCTTTTTTATGATTCACTGAAAAAAATATTTAGAAGACACAAAAGCTATTTTTTTAAAAATTGCCTGTAGATCTTTAAGAGACAAAAACTTTTAAAGTTTTCATGTATTTTTTATGATTGACTTCATGCATTTTATATTTACTTAAATCGTTAGAATCTTACGCTTTTACATATTTTATGTTTCCATTTTACATGATATTTAATTTTCCTTTTTGTTTCTCAGGCTTTAAAAACAGTTCTTAATAGCAGAGTGATATTGAAATCAATGAATATTGTACTATTTAACTATTTTCCAACTTTTTGATTTTGTTGCTGTTATAAATTCTGACTTAATAGGCATCCATATAGATAATCTCTCTTTACTCATTATTTCATAAATTTATATTGGTTTTGGTGCAGTTACAAAGTTTTGATAACTGGATTTTTTAAGAAAAGAAAGTCAGAATTTAGACTGATAGCCATATCTATACTTTTATAACAGTATTGGATATATATCCAATTATATATATATATAAAAATTGGATATTGGTTAAATATCCAATTTATTTACCAAATCACCAATACATTTATTGTGATTTCATTAATTTAGCCGATTTACTTCTTGTCAAATCAATAAAATCATGTACTAATTGATTGTCTATTGTTCTTGAGACATTTTCCCAGTTAATATGACGGTGCATAAATGAATAAATCTTTAGGCCTTGCTTTAAAAGATGCTGGGGCAGGCCGGGCATGGTGGCTCATGCCTGTAATCCCAACACTTTGAGAAGCAGAGCCAGGAGGATCACTTAAGCCCAGGGGTTTGAGACTCACCAGAGCAATACAGGGAGACCCTATCTCTCCAAAAAACAAAAAAATAAAAATAAAATTAAAAAAAAATTAGCCAGGCATGGTGGTGTGTGCCTATTATCCCAGCTACTCAGGAGGTTGAATGGGGAGGATCACTTGAGCCCAGGACATCAAGGCTGCAGTGAGCCATAATTGTGCCACTGTATTCCCGCCTGGGCAACAGAGTGAGACCCTGTCTCTAAAATTTTTTTTTTTAATTAAAAAAAAACAAAAGACCACGGGTGATGTGATCATATTTCAAGGGTTCAAATGCTATGAGAATTCCGGAGAAGAGAGAACACTCCAGGCTATGGAATTCAGTTACGTTTGAATGGAGAAAGGGATGTTTGAAGTCAGTTTTACAGAATGGGTTGATTTTTAAGGTTAAGATCCGCGGGGCGGGGGTTGGGGGGTGGTAAGAAAGCATTTCAGGAAAAGAAACTCAGCGTCCAAAGGTGAGGAGGCAAAACAACAGAGTGGAGGCTGTGTTTGGACAAGGTGGTATTCACAATTACATGCATGCCTCGTCGGTCTGCAGCTGCTGTGAGCTTCTCCCTGAAATCCTCACTCCGTGCTGGCCCCCGGGAGCAGAGCAGCCCGTAGGTGGGCAGTGCAGTCACCTGGTGACTCCAAGAACGGCCAGGTACTAGAGTTCTTCCAGATTCTTGGAGGTCTGGCCAAAGTAGGCTGAAGAAAATTATTGAAAGCCCTCAGCAAGAAATGTCTCCCTACCAACTTTCAAATTCTCCTTTGACTAATAATGATCCCTTCTTGGATTACACAGCCCCGTGGGTTGGTCTGTTTTATTGGGTGGGTGGGGGCGGTTTTCATGCTGCCAATGATTAGCTGTGGGCTGGTGGGGAGAGGGAGGGTGGCCTATGGCTTGTTCAGCGTTTGGTCTTGCCATAGGGAAGATGGGTGCATTTCCCTGAAGGGGCGGCTCCCTGAGATGGGTGCTCTGGGGGCACTTCGGGCCGGGACCCCCAAATGCAGAAAACTCTGTGCCACAATTTATTGAGGTGTTATCTCTTGATAGTAGGGTCGTAGATGGTTTTGTTTTCTTATTTTTGCTTGAATATTTATAATTTTCTATAAAGATTTTAACTTTTCTATTTAAGGAGGAAGGGAGTTTAATGACTATGTTAGAAGCTTCTTGGGATGTTATGAAATAATACTCAAGAACAAAAAGGATATTCATATTGTTTGCCCAGTGATTTGTTCCAAGATATTTATCCTAAAGAAATAATATACTTTTTGATTTTTTTGAGACAGGGTCTTGCTCTGTCATCTAGGCTAGAGTACAGTGGTGAAATCACAGCTCACTGCAGCCTTGACCTCCTGGGCTCAAAGCAGTCCTCCCACCTCTCAGCCTTCTGAGTAGCCAAAGGAGTAATGGAGGCAAAGTGCTGTATATATGAAAGAAATTTTTATTATTGCCCTCTCTTTAATAGTAAAAGCAGGAAACAGCCTGAATGCCTCAGAGTTAGAACCTAGTTTTGGCACTGGGGGGTACGTCTAAACAGTAGAATATACGTACCTATGAAGACAATAATTAGGATGATTACATAGAGACAAGGACGCGTGTTTCTGCAGTGATGTTGTGTGAAAAGGCAGGATATGTGGCAATTGTCATAGTTTTCACGTGGATGAGAATGTGAAGCAACACGTAAGAATGAAGGATGTATAGAAGGGCTGTGTGCATGGGGAGCCTGTCCTCCCAAAACTTAAATAAAACAGTGGTTTCAGGCGGACGATCTGTAACACTGTAACACTGATTGACCCACGGTAACATTCGGGTCTTTTAACACCTCTGCACTCTGGGTTTTCTCACTTGCCAAACGGAGGTGACAATACCTACCCCCACCTACATCTCAGGGTGTTGGGCGTAACAGGAGGGAGCTCTGCCGGCTTTGCATGCAAGAGCTTCCACACGCATGTGCGGGGTGCTCATACCCCTAGCACTGTCAGAAACATCAGCACCCGCCTGCAGGTTGGTACGAGGCCCTCTCCTCCAAATTATGAGAAAATTACCTTGGGCATCTCATTAATTTTCAAAGCTTCCCTTTCATCTAGCACTCAGACTCATGAAATACCAGGTCCAGAAACAAATCAGAAACGATTTCCTCCAACTCTCTCATGTAAGTCGTCACAATGAGTCCACAGACACCAGGGGGAGAATGACACCCTTGCCCTCATACAGCCTGGCCTGGAGTGAGGTGTCCCAGCCCCGGCTTTCAGCACGGCCCCGCCCTCCCGTCCCAGTCCCTGCTGCTGTAAGGACATGCCCTGAGCAGGTGTCCCAAGCGCTCCGAGGTGTGGAGCAGACTGTGGATAGAGCTCACGGACGGACGGCGCACTCCTGCTGGGTACCTGAGCACGCGGTCCGAGGCCTGGCTGGACTTGGACACGTCACAGCTCTGGTGCTTTTCCTGTGCCTTGGCCAGTTTCTCTGCTGCAGCGATCGGGCATCCGGAGAGGCTGCAATCACAGAAAGCGCGTTGAATGGTCCCGCCTCAGACGCCTTCACAGGACACCAATCCTCCCTTAGCACCAGGACCCTGATGCAGGTGGAGCTGTGGGGGAGGGGTGGTTTCCCAAGCCTGGCATGGGCAATCCTGATGGGTGGACTGGGAGAGGGGGAGGTAGTCATGTTTCTAGGTGTATGCTTTCTGCTTGTCTCCAGCAGAGAATGCTGGCGGCAGTGCTGTGTGAGGTGTACTCAGTCCTTCCCAGTGAGAGCGTCCCAGCTCCGTGCATTCGGGAGGACATAGAGGACATAGCTGGTGAAAACGGTGGACAGATTCCGTTCTGGAGAGCTCGCCATTTCTGGAGATGAAGAATTAACAGCTTGGGTAGGAGGAGTTTTTAAGCCCATGAATGGCAATGAACTGACTGTTACCAGAAGATGGAGCTCCAAGCTGATTTCCTAAATGCTACTGACTGTGGCCTCTGGGGGGCCTGTCTGACATTAGCCCTTTGGTGTTCTCCACAAGCAGGGAAATGAAAGTGGAGAGGAAAGCAGAATGATTTCTAGGACTGCAATAAAATGTTCTGTGGAGCCAAATAGTTCGGGCTTTGTCTAGATGGAGGAGACAGCAGCTGGGCTCTTTCGCGTGCAGGCTCACTTTATGTGAGATCACTGCGCCTGCTCTGTGGGTGTCTCCATGCATATCTGCTCATACGCACAGACGCTCCCCCCATATATATGTCACACCCCAAAGACACGCCCGTGCTGAGGTTTGACGGAGGCCCTGACACTGTGGATGCTGCATCGAACAGCACACAGCCCTCACCTCTCCAACCTGTCGGTCATTTCCTGCTTCTGCAGATTGAACACCTGAATGTCTCTGGAGGGCACAGTGGTCATTTGTTTCATTATAAATTTAACACAAAGAACCAGGTTTGCCAGTCAGACAAACAAAAATTAGAGTGAAGCTTATAGTAGTTTCCTTCTTTTAGATATAATTTTATGTGAACTCATAAAACCATAGACTGTCAGACAAACTTCAAAAGAATCACTTTTCGGCCTCTGGAAATAAAAAGTTTTCAGATAAGAACGGAATATTATGGGCAGCTGAGTAGTTCTTATCAAGTCTGAACAGAACAGGAAAAGAGAACTGAAATCTTTCACAAACAAAAGAGTGATTTAGAGTACATTTGTTAGCGGGAGTCCAGAGTCTATTTCTCCAGCACCCCAGCCTCCCACAGACCCCCACCCAGCCTGCTAAACATCTGTAGGTTTTCTGAAGATGTCGGTACTTGTGATCTGGGGTTTCTGCAGAATTCCAAGGGCAGTCAAGCCAAGCTACATGCTGTATAGGCTTGCTGCATTCCAGGCCATGTCCTGTCCAATGAGCACCAGGACAGCCCTGTCTTCACCCTGGAGGACAGCAAAGGCTTGGCCTCCTTCCTTCCAGCCATTGTAAATGGTCATGGTTTCCACTCCTGATACTACACCCTGCTACCATAAGGTGGGTGGGGCAACTAAAACCATCCAGTTTGCACCACAAGGGCGTGGAGTGCTTGCCACTCCCGCGCGTTATGTGGAGGTGCCTGTACTTGGGGAGCACCATGTGGAGCACAGTCCGCCTCCCCGGGAAGGAGGCGGCGTGGAGGGCAGCCGGTGCCCCCTCCCACTCTAGTGCTGCACGTGGGTGCCTGCACTTGGGGAGCACTATGGGGAGTACCAAGTGGAGTAGGTGCCTGTATGTGGGGAGCACCATGGGGAGCACTGTGGGGAGCACAGTCTGCCTCCCCAGGAAGAAGGAGGCGTGGAGGGCAGCCGACTCTCCCTCCCACACCAGTGCCGCACGCGTGGCTTACCTTCGGTGGGAGTTCCTGTTGCTGTTGACGTGCCCGCGCCCCGTGCAGCCCGGAGTGGGGCACTTGAGGACACTTTCATGCATGGCAAGGACTTGACAGGGAGAGGCAAAGAGAACAGCCAGCGTTAAAACAGAGGCCCAGTCAGGACACATGAAAATGCAGTCATTTAACAAAGGCCAGGTCGCTCATGACAGACAGTCCTACAAACGTTTGTGATGGGCACGGTCAGGAAAACACACGTGGGAGAAAGAAGGTTGACTGGACCCTACAGACCCTACACGAAAGGCCAGAGAAAGGTTGACTGGACCCTACGCTAAGGGCCTCACACGGCAGGGGCGCTGGACCCGGGAGCCTGGGAGTTCAGAGAACACAGAACCGACTCTTTCCTGATGGGTTAGGGGAGCCAGGGCCTTGCAGACGTTACCCATGCATAAGCACAGAGTGTTGATTAGCCACAGAACAACACAGAGGCTGCGGATTTTAAAAAACACCCCTGTGCTTTGGAAACACACAGCATTATGAATGTGTGGTGGGTAGATGAATACAGAACCACAAACCTCAATTTTAAATAAAATGAATTAAATAATCACGCTTCCTTTAGGAACCTAGTGCTTTATTATTCTTTAAATAGAATGAGCTAGAATGGTACGCGTTCTGCGTTTTTACGCTGTGAAATTAACAAGCGGGAGAGGCCGCAGGGACTCCTCTTGTGGTGCAAGGGTGCTACTGGCCAGCTGGCTGCGGGGAGCTGCTTGAATTTTCCCAGCAGTGGTGTTAGACCTGACTTATTTGTGTCTTCCTTCTTTTCTGGTCCTTCGTGAACACTTCACTACTCTGGGTTCTGGGGGAAGGTTAGCAGGGATGAAGGGACCCCCACACGGACCCCGTCTGTATGATGCTCTGCTCCTCTGAGCCTGCTGTCTCCAAACTCCAGGGCAATGGGGTGGCGGCTTTCCCTGCCAGCAAGGTTTACCTGAGGCCAGGTGAACATGGAAGGTCTATTCAAAACGGATCTGCCTACCCTAGTTACGTAATTGTATTTTCTACACTTTTCCTCCTTCTCTAGAACAACGTCTCTTTCCCCTGCAGCCTGCTGGGCACTGAATCCCACGTCCACATGGTGTTGCTGTTTTCTGAGTCCACACCCTGTCTTCTTCCTGCCGGGCAGGCCCTTCCAAAGATTCTGCTTTGGTGTTAGCTTTGTCACTCCCACAGTTCCTGGCTGGTCCTGGATGTGGTAGGTGCCCAGTAAGTGCCGTCAGAAAAGTGAATGATCAAAGTGAGTCCACCTTTGGCTCATCTTGTGCCGGGACCTGGCTGGAGGGGGTCACAGGGGGCTCCTTTCTGAGAGAATCCCAGCACAGTTCCCTGCCCCCTTCCTCGCCTGTCCCAGAGGAAGAAGTGCTGCTCCTCCCTTTCAGGGAAGCCTCTCCAGGAAGCATGTGTGTGGTCCTCCTTCCTGCAGGACATCCATCTACCTACTTCATTCATTCCTTCTTCTTTACCATTTGTCCACCACCATGTGACAACAGCACACAAATGCTTTCCTTCACACAGCTTTCCTCTGACGTGCACCTGCACTTTCCTTTCCTTTTATGGTAAACTTTTCACACACAGTTTTCCCTGGGGATGGCGCACATGGGTCACTCTGACCTGAGGTCATGATGGCAAATGGACCTTACCCTGTCTCCTGCTGTGTGGGGATGCACACTCCCAGCCTCGCCCCTGAATCGTCCTGAGGTGGACTGTGCTTGCCATCCTTGGTCCACACTCTGCTGCTACTTCATCCATCTCAATCACATTTCTCAAACTTCTGCAGCATGTGCAGCTCCTATCCCTCTCTCCTCTTCTCACATCTGTCTCTTGGGGTCAACAAGAGGCTTTTACTCAAGAAACCCTGCTGGGCGCAGTGGCTCATGCCTGTAATCCCAGCACTGAGGGAGGCTGAGGCGGGTGGATCACGAGGTCAGGAGTTCGAGACCAGCCTGACCAATGTGGCGGAACCCCATCTCTACTAAAAATGCAAAAATTAGCCAGCCATGTTGGCATGCACCTGTAATCCCTGCTACTCAGGAGGCTGAGGCAGGAGAATCACTTGAACCCTGGAGGCGGAGGCTGCAATAAGCTGAGATTGCGCCACTGTACTCTAGTGTGGGCGACAGAGTGAGACTCCGTCTAAAACACACACACAAAAAACAAAAAACAAAAACAAAAACAAAAAAACCCTGTGACCCCCCTAGTTCTTCCTCTTGGACCTCGGTGGCACCCCGGGTGTTGCCTTCCTACACGGGGCTTTATCAGAAACACCCTCCTCTTCTGGTTTTCTGTTTCTGATTTTCCTTCACCTGCCCTGTTTCTGTGCTTCATCTTACCATACATTCACGGCCAAACTTCTCATTTATGGGCCCTCCTTCATTCCCGCCTTATGCCTCCTCCCTAAGCAATTCCCTCCTCAGCTTCCACGAATGCTGCTCCAAGGACAGTATCCAGGTAGCCACCTCTGCACCTGACCCCCCCAGGCCTCCAGAGCCACCTCCCCAAACCCTATGGAATATCATGCAGCTCCTCCGACTCAAGTGGGAAGAATACAAGTCCCAGTTTCTCCACCAAATGTGGCCCTGCTGCTCAGCTCTCTGTACGGATTATCAGCCCTGGCGTCCTTAAGTTCACCAAGGCCACAATCCTTGGCTTCCTCTCGGTCTCCCCTCTTCTCTCAGTCCTCACGTGTGTTGTCCTCCACAGCCTGCCCGCCTATCTCCAGATGTTTTGTGAATCTGCCCCAGCATTTTTATTCCTACTACCACTGTCTTTTCCATGCCCTGATCTCTTGTGTGGACTTTTACAACAGCCTTTAGAAAATGCTGTGAGTTCCTCACCTCACACAGGACAGCTGGAGCATCACCTCAGGGCAGCCTTGGGGACTCTGGGAGTGGTTCTCCCTCCTGCCTAGACCATGCTGTGGCGTCCCCTCTGTGCAGAGCCCCGGCATCATGCAGAGCCCCAGCCTCGTGCCCATGCCCTTCTCTCAGCCGGGCGGGGAGCTCTCTGCGGGCCAGTACGGTATCTCGGGCAATGGCGTGTCCTCGGTGGTTCTGACACAGTGTGCTGCTGGTTTCTTTATGGAATTTAGTTGGACAGAAATGATGATTAGGGGAAACTAGCCCAGAAAAAAAATAAAATTAAAAGCCTTCTATGGATGGAATTCTCTAATCATTTTAGTAAATGCTTGCGGTGTTATAAAGAATTGCACAGGAGCAAAGGCTGAGAAGCCTCCTCTGTATTGTCTGGAGTGCACCTGTGCTGCCCGTGGCAGAGCTGAGGCTCCCTGCCTCCGAGAGCGATCCGGCCCTGGGAGGCACCTGCAGCCGGCGTGATGGGCACCTTGCCAGTCCACACTCCACACTGCCACTCCATTTAGGCCTGTACTGTGAAAACAGGGAGTCAGAAGAATTTTCCATCCATAAAAACGAGCTGATAATCTACCTTGAAGGTGAATATGTACGTCTCAAAAACACATAAAGAAACTCTTATTCTTAAAACACTAGAGCTTGGTCCTCCTGTCTCACTTTACAGATGAGGAAGATGAGGTATAGAGAGCTGCAAAGTGTTGGGTGTCACATCACGCGTTCAGATGGAAACCGGAACAGCAAACCCAGGTTTCAGAGGAGACAGAGGTTTGGAGGTCAGACAGATACGGATTTACATCTTAGCCTGGAGCTTACTTGAGCAAGTTAGTACCCGCTCAGATTGGTTTAACAAGATGTCGCACATCCTCAATTTGCCAGGCATTGGCTAACCTCTGGAGAGAGAGGGTGCCAGAGTCTCTGGCTCTCATCTTCCCCATCCGAATGAAAGGGCGGGTGTTGCCCTACAGTGTTGACTGGGGATCAGGTGAACTTGTGTTTGCTGTGTGCGAGCTGCGCCCTGGCACCAAGTGTGTGCTGGATACATGGAAGCTGTTGTCAAACCACGCTATCTTCCTGCTCATGTAACACACGGGATTGGAGCCACTTGCTCGGATTTGTTTATTTTTACGGCTCTTCAGGCTTGTTCACAAGATGGTTATAAAAAACACAGGTTTGCTGTTTTGAGGAGCCATTTGAAAACCTGGAGCCATAATCACATCTAAAGATCTTTCACTGGAAAACGTTCAGCAAAAACTTCCTAAGTCCCAAATGCTCCTGAGAACGTGTCTTTGTGCTGACAGGTTTTGCTCTCAAGTATCTCAAAGTTACCCGTTTTAATGGGACAGTCCTCAGGAGGGCCTTGAAGTAATTAACTGGTCATCTTGTCATCTCTCAAGCCATGTTATGACATGTTCCCCACTAGAAACTTGTCTTAGACAGTAAGGGAAACTCTTCCCATGCCACAGACTCAAAACCAGAACCTTAAACTCATATACTAATTTCTGAGAGTGTGCCTTTTCCCTGAACCATCAATTCCAGCTGCAGTATTTAATTTATTGGCAGACTTCATGTGCTGAAAGGATAAACAAAAGAAGATGTATATCATTTCAATTCTAAAAAAATTTAGCTATATTCATGGATTTATCCCACATGATCAGAACCTAATTAAAAAGAATGCTTAAGATCAAAACCCATCTGATTTCAACCTCCTTCCTTATTGAAGAACCTATAGTGTTGAAATGTTGAGACAACTATGACATGAGACAGACTTTACAGGTGAAATGCAATAAAACTTCAGATCTAAATATGCATTTGGATGATGTACAGAAATTCAGATATTTGGGCAAGAAATGTCTGTCTCAAGGCCTCTCTCCTCTGGGATTCCTGGCAGTTTCATACTGGAAGGGACGTCTTAGAGACCATCAGATTCAGTTGTGTAATTATGAGAAAAGATGCCTGGAAGCCACCTGCCAGGGTCCCAGAGCAGGTCAGAGCTGAACTCGGGACTAGAACCCAGGCCTGTGCAGGAGCTCTGTTAGGGGAGGTGGGCTTCATGGTGCACCACTCTCCTGGGGCTGTGCCACTGGCACACCCACGAATCCTGGATCAGTTGCCCATCAAGTTAAGTAGGGGCCTAGTTAAGTCAGGTCGCACCGAGCCGTACGATGGAGATGACGTCAGGTAAGAGGGATGACAGAGACAGAGTCATGGGTGTTTGCACCCCCAAGGGTAGCAGTGAGATGTGGACTTACTTTCTGGAGGGACCCTATCTTTGTGCGGGCATCCGGACAGGCTGCGGTGATGTGGGTACAGCCCAGTTACGTGGCCGGTTCCATCACACCCGGGGGTTGGACACTTGCTCTCTTTCTTTTCTGTTCTTGAGGGATCTAAAAGCGACAACAGGTGCCAAGAGAATAAATGTTTACCAATCAAAGACAAATGTGATTATTTCACAATCTGAAGGAACCTTGCTAAAGAAAGAAATAAAGCAGGTGTCAGGGGAACAGGCTGTGACATCAGACTTTTGCTTAGATAGTTCTTTGGTTTTGGGTGACTTTTTTCAACCTCACACAGTATAACCATGAATCATAAAGTATTTTTATTTTTATTCTAAAGAAAAGAAAAGCCTACCCCTCACCTTAACCCTGATTCATTATTTTCCCGTGTGTTACATGATAAGTGGTGTTGCTCAAAGGAATCAACGTAAATCGTGATGAGACAGTGACCTTCTTAGAGAACTAAATTCTGTGCCATCATCATTCAGCAATTTTCCGTGAAATTCAACCAGAGAGTGTCATTCCGTTCAAAACCTCTGTAGCTGAATTTCTTTCTTATTGAGCGCTCTGATCGCATACACTAGAAGCTGCAGGATTTTACTGGCATTGAAATTTGCTCTCCGGAGGTCAGGTGACACCGTTTCGCAGCACACCAATTTGGCGCTTTTCTGACAATAAAGTGAACTCTCAGAAGGCACTGCAAGCAAATGACCAAAACGGTGGAAAGCCCACCTGACAGAGGTGACGGGTAACCCACATGTTTCAGAAGCCACGGGAGCAGCCTTTTGTTTTGGTTTCTTCATCTGTACTTGGAACCAGAGGAAGGCTCGTAGAATGCCGTGCATGCATACACAAAATTAAGAAGTAATGGGTTTCTACTGCCCTGTCGGCTTCTCTGCAAGTACCAGTCAAGGGTAAATTAGGGCAGAGCTTTGGTTAAAAGATAAATTCAATACTAGAGGCCAGAAATGTAATGACATTGCTCACAAAATTATTTCTATATCCGGAATTGACTACAGTTCATAAATATGCAATATAATAACTTCAGAAAATATTTCTAAAGTAAAGCTCAGACCAAACAGTAAATCTAAGTGTGTGAAACACTGTATTTTTAGCCAATTTTTGAAAACCAGTTGCTCAGATCACCAACAGATAGCGATCATTATTAGTCCAGAAATGCAATAGTTAAATTTTCTTTAGGGATTAGTTCTTTTTGATACTCCATGAATCAGGCCAATCATGATTGCTAGAAAGCACACATTTTATTTTTGGTTAAGAATTCACTTTATATCAATAAAAAGCTGGATTTAGAATTTTTTGAATTTTTACGGACTTTTTTCATTCATTCGGGTGAACTTGAAATAGACAAAGGACTAGCAGGAGTAGACAAATGCCATCATGTTCATATAAAAACACTCCCCTTTTCTTTTTTAGCTAACATCTGATTCTGCATAATGTGCCTCTCCTGTGCTGGAAACTCTTAAGTCAGTACTGGCGTTGAGGGAAATACCGTTTGTACAATCGTCAGCTACTTTCCTACCATTATTTCAAGAAGAACTTTGAGAACAAATCTAAAATTACGTGGTTGTGGCTTCAGTTTCTAATTACATTACTGGAACTTCTCTTACACCTGCAAACAAAATGCCTGGCACCTTACCGCCTTTTCAGTAATTTCATCATAACGTTGGTATAAATTACTGTAAATACAAATCACTACAAATATAAAGTAGTAAGTGCACAGTAACAGTTTCAAAAGAAATACTGACAATCATAAACTAGAGATAAGAGATTTTGAACTAGATGTAAATGGCTAGTGGCCGGTGCAAAAAAGTGTAAGGCGTGTTATCTATTATTCATCCTTAAGTGACCCTATTTTATCACGACACTTACGACTACCTAACAAAATATATGACTTCCCAGATTTCGAAAGTGCTGTGAAATTAAGTAGGGATTTGCATGAAAACATTGTGGCTCCAAAGCATTTTGGGTTTTGGAAGACGACAAGGGTATAGTCTCCTCTCGATGCATGAGGTCCTGGTTGAGGTGGGGTCATGCTATTGGCCTTCACCGTTACCTCCCCTTGGTTTCTTTTCTCTTGCAATCTCAAAAGCAAACATACAAGCAAACACAAAATAACCAAGCAAGCAAAGGAACCAACAATTTAACCCAACACCTTGCAACAACTTACAGAAAAAAAAAAAAAAGGGTGCTGTTTAGCCTGCTCCCTTCACTCTGCTGGAGCAGGCGATTGGGTAGAAGACAGAGGAGGTCCATGATCCAGGCCTTTTACATTAGCTCAAGATTTTGGAAATGTTGCTCGTTGATAATTTAAATCAGTTTGAGAAGATTGTGTAGAAATGAGAATACAAGTGTTCTCTTCGTATTTAATAAAATAACAGAGTGTCTGAAAACAGAGCCTGTTGACATGCTAGTGGTTGCAGGAATTCTCTGTTGGCTGTGTTGGTGAGATAGTACCACAATTTTTATTTTTATTTTATTTATTTATTTATTTATTTTTTGAGATGGAGTCTCACTCTGGCCCCCAGGCTGGAATTCAGTGGCACAATTTTGGCTCACTGCAAGCTCCGCCTCCCAGGTTCACGCCATTCTCCTGCCGCAGCCTTCCGAGTAGCTGGGACTACAGGCGCCCGCCACCACGCCCGGCTGATTTTTTGTATTTTTAGTAGAGACGGGGTTTCACCATATTAGCCAGGATGGTCTCGATCTCCTGACCTCGTGATCCGCCCACACTATTTTTTAAGGGAGCCTCTTTGCTCCACTTTGTTGGCCTTGCTTGGCTATATGTATTTTGTTCTGAATATAACTACAGACATCTTTGAAGGACATTTGGAATAGTGTGGAAGACACTGACAGATACGGAAATGAGCTTTGGTCAAAGAGGAAGGCCTGGAGCAGCTGGGAGAGACGGGAGTCAAGGCCTTCTGCTTGCAGGAAAGTCCAAATCTGCAACCTTTCCTCACTTCAGGGAAAAAGCACGTCTCAGTTTTTACTGTTCATTCCCACCTGACCCCCATTTACACAGAGGAAGCAAGCAGTTTGAATTCCATTTTCTTGCAAACAAAACAAAACAAAACAAATCAACAACAAAACAAAGCGAGTCAAAATTTGCATAAAGCCGCTGAATTTAAAGAGACCAAGAAACCAAAGAAGCCACCGCAACACAGAATTTGCAAATCTCAATCAGCCTTCTCCTTTACACGGCATACCCTACATGACTTCATGCCAACACGCCATCCTCAGCTCTAGGATCCGGGATTCTAAAATGTAAGCCTAAAATATATTTGTCCAACTGAGCAATCACATGAAAAGAAGACACTGTTTCTTCCCCCCAAATTAAAATGTTTCCTTCCTGTATGATTCTCAAAAATTCAACTAAAAATTTCTAATAATTTTAGCCCATCTTGTTAACAATGATAGCACTGTAATTTTAAACATAGATGCTGTGTTCCATAGTCTTTAAAATGCCCAAATCAGGCCTGAAGCCCTACTGAACTAGAAAATCTACTGATTCTCTTTCCTCTAAAAAACAACCCCTTCGCTACATAACAACACTGCAACAGGCAAAGCTTCACCTTGCGACTGAAATGCTGTCTGTGCCCAGGCACCTGCTGAGAGCTCCTGAGCCTCTGGCTAAGGTACCTCTACAGTTTGCATTTGGCTGTAGTGATGTCCAGCTTGCCGCTTAAGGTAGGTGCACACATTGAGAGGAGAATACACGTCCGTGCCACAGTGGGAAAAAGTGCAGTTTTTCTGATTGTTTGAAGTTTATACAGCAACTGATTTTCAAGTAAATTCCTGAGCCTCGCTACTGGGTTCTCAGTGAGGAAACTCAGGATTTGTCATGAATAGAATGTAGTAAAAAATAGAAAAGGATCTTTGGGGTACTAACATAGAAGTATTTAATGAACTGCCAAATTTATGTTTTAAATTGCTTCTTACTGAGTTCTAAAAGAATATTGTGATGGAGATATCCACAAAGTCGAGGTTATGCATGAGGCTGAATTAGAACCTGCCTCATATTGAAAGTGGACACCATCTTCTTTATAAACATGAAGATGATCATTCAGGTTGGAGATACATATATATATGATCTACTTACATACATATAGTATACATATATATATGTAAAGATAGCCAAATACATTGACATATGCAAACATATGCCCACATATTTCATAAAAGAAAACTCAGCTCAAACTATCATATTGGATAGTTTTTGAGTGTTTTATAATAAACTAATATTTGAGGAAAGCGCTGTTTAACTGTTTCCACAACGGAATGGAATCAGTGAGGGGGGAATGAATATCCTAAAGAAATTGCTATTGATCTTAGCTGAGGCCACACCATGCCTTGCATAGCAAATGGTTTCCATTACCTTACTATCTTAAGATAATTAATGTGTAGTCACTGCCCTTATCTTATGTTATTGGTCATTCGGTTACTGTTCAATTTCTATCAGGGGTGTTTTCTATGAGGGCAGTTTCATCAATACCTGTTACCTGATGATAATTTTATAAATCATGATGCCACCTACCCAATCCAATTTATAAAATATGTGCTTTATCTCGGATTGACTAATTGTTACATAAACCCTTGCCACTCAACATAGATTGTGGTTTATTTATAACAGCACAGGCTCACCCTAATATTTTCTATCACGTGATGTGTCTGTGCTTTAACCCTGTCTTCCCAGGAATGCATTTCCCACTGAAATATCCTACTGTTCATCTGCTCTAATAATATGACATTGAGCTGCTTTATGTATTTCTCAGACAAATATTTTATTTGCTTGTCAGAAACATAATCACAAAATATCCTTCTGGAATCAACTCTAAGAATGTGCAGTAGAGACATAATTCAGTGTGAGTCATACTTTAACTGGAGACTACCACCAACATCCTTTACCCTAGCTCATGTTTTCATGAGGCAACTTACGTTAGGTAGAAATATTACCTTTACCATAGTATGGCTTTTTGACATGGCTGTCACTGGATTTAGGCTTTCTGTCCTCCCCGGGAAGTTGTCTCGGAGACTGGTCCTCGTATGACCTCATATTGTCCCTCCTCCCGGCTTCCATGGCCATCTTCTCCCTCATGGCCTTTGCTCTTTCCGTTTCTAAAGCGATGGCTTTCTCCAGCAGGGTCAGGTTCCCCTTGGTCATGTCGAACACCTCTTCAGACCTGTCCGAATTCACGGAGGTGGTATCGTCGTCCCGCTCATGACACCCATCCTCCTTCGCACAGCTGGCAAACACTCTCGACCGGGGGCTCAACTGCTCCTCCAGCCGCATGAGGTTCAGCATGTCCGAGTAGTTTCTGTCCGGCGTCCTTCCTGGGAAGTCCTCTTCTGGCCGGACGTGCTGACGGATGTTCATGTTCTGCTGCGGGTTCCTCTCCTGCGGGTTGGTCTCGCTGAGCTTCCTGGCCAGGTCGAAGCACTGATTCCTCAGACACTCCAGACTGCTCAGACACACCTCCTCATCGCTCTCCTCCACCATCTTTTCCATGAGTCCATTGTTCATGGGCTTCCCCAACATGACGTAATTCATATTTCTGCTATCTTGCTGCGACATGCTGTCTGCATAACTTCTGTCATTCATGTTATCTGAGAGCACAACACCATGTCCTTGGGCTAATAGTTTCAGGGAGTCCACAGTTTCTCTAACAACGTCACTGTCTAAGTCTAAACTCAACTCACTTTTCCGACCCAGGTTTTCGTTTTTGTCACTATCGTCTTCCAGACTATTGGAGGTATTGCTGTTCATTTCGGATTCAGTCCTGGCCCGGTAGGCTGCGTCCTCAGCGATTTTGCCGAGGTTTAACAACGACTTGGCCACCAGTTCATCATAATTGTCATATTCGTCATTATTGTTATCATCCTTTTCTGTGTCTTGCATTATTCGAGTATTGTGACAATTCATTTGATGGTCTTCTGCAAAGAAAATAAAAAAGACAAAAAAGAAAAGAAAAGGAAAAAGTGGCTAGAACTGGAAGCTTAGTTGCAACAGCATGGATAGCACGTTACCTGCAAGTCAAACCGTCTATCATCTCATAGAACCGTAAGTCCCATTTGCGGCTGGGTTGAAAAAGTTGACATAAAGAAAACAGATGTTGCTAAAAAGCAGAAGGCCATTTAAAATACTTGTTGTGAATTATTAATTTCTTTAATGGATCTTAAGATAAACCAGTGTGGCAAATATGATTTTAAAATATTAATTTTGTATTTTTCATACATTTTAAGAATGACTTATTTTCTCCATTGGCTTGCTTTATCTACAGCCTCGCCAGATGCGTATTAACTGTGCTCCTCACATTACTAGGCTTTCTAAGAGGTCATGAACTTTACTTGTTGCCAATTCTGAAGCAGATGTTTGCAGCAATTGCTTTTAAATGGTCTATTTTCACAGTGGCGTGTAGGCAACACAGGACAGCCTCAGGTTCCTGAGAAGTCAGGCAGGGGTGCCGGCTGCATTGGGAGCTCAGAATCATAAGCACACGTTGGGGCTGAATTAAGAGTTCTTTTGAATCCAATACCTTCCAGACAATTTATCATGATATACAGTGAAGCAACAGAAATTCCATAGTAAAAGTTTAGAAAGTAAATCTGATTCCTCTGACTGTGTCTCCACAGGTTTGAAAGTGAGAGAGAGAGAACGCGCGCAGCAGCCAAAGGCCTATAAAAGGCGGGGTTGAGGTGAGTTGGTACAACCACTGCACAGTGTTTGACCGCACAGGCAGAGCTGGCACATTCCTCCATCTCACAGCCTCAGGAAAAGCTTGGTGAGCGGGTATAAAGTGTGAGTAAGTGTCATGCTTCATCTCAAAAAAGTATTTGGGAAAACTCTTTAAAAAAGGCCATGTTAAAAATTACATAAAACCCCTATGTTTTATCTCAAACGTATTCTGTTTCACACTCAAAGAGTATCTGGGATTTGTACCTCTAATCACCATGCCAGGTCACTGCTCCTATGTACATTGCAAAATATGAGTAATAATCAAAGGGTTCCTAAATGCATCTGTACCCTTAGATTAGATGTGGTTAACCACATGCCACTTTCACATCTGTTCTTTGGTTTTGTGATAAAAAATCCAGAGTAAGAAGAATGCCTAAAGTTTATTAATGATTTAAAGAAATGAAGTATATTGACCTCTACAAAATACCAGTTCACTAAAAGCTGAGATGGGGGGCTCTGGTGTTTTCTCTACGGGTTTTATGCAGAAAAGGCTTTTGTCAGTGAAAAAAGACTTGGAGTTCAATATGTCAATAACAGAAAACAGTATCTTTGCTATCCCATGCTGAAGGAACAAATATTTAAGATCTGACACACCTTTCTAAACTTCAGCAAATCAAATTTACCTTTTATTAGACATACAGAATCACTAATTGTGTGAAACAAATATTGCCCTTCTTCTGGATAATTCCTATAAATCATCTTCTTTATTATAAGGATAAAAGTATTCCCCAAGAGCAGCAAAAAGAGAGAAAATCAAACTAGTGAATGTAATCAGAAACACTGTGGGAGTATTAATCTCCAACGTACCCCTTGCTATAGCCTAGTGTTTAAGCTTTTAGGACTTGAAGTCAATCCTGTTTTAATGAATATTTGGAAATATAAAAGTCATATTCTCCTCTCAATTTATGCACTTTGTTATATTCATGGGCTGTGATTAGAGACATTTCCCCAGAATAACCAAGCTGAGTTACCCTGCACAATAGCTACGTTTTAACAGCCAGAATCACTGTGTCTATGAAGACCCAGCCATGAGATGAAAGCTAAGCTATGATTTGAAAACAAAAGAGCACAGGCCACATGTTGGAGCATTTTGAAAGTTGAGTCAAAGAAGATACCACAGTCAAGCAAGACACTATTTTCATGATGATCTCCTACGTTTCCTTTATGGAACTCATTGTGTGGTCCTGAAGAATTTGGAAAAGAAGCAAGACCTTGAAAGTGGTGAACAAGAAAAGAAACAGCCTGTCTAATCCTCTTTGCTGCTTCTAAAGCCACAGAAAGCCTACAGGTGGAACGGGTCCTGGTTCGCATCCTATCAACTTCCTCACCTTCCTACAAATGTGTTATGTACAAGACTGGTCATTCTCCACATTCCAAATCTCAGGATTAGCGTCAATTTGTTTCCCTCTACATTCTCCCTTCAGCAGCACATAGTTAAGAAGCACATCTCACCTTTTTGATAATCAGACATTTATCTGTTTCTCCACTCAATTCTTAAGTTACCTTCCCCCAACAAAATTAAAACAAAAATGGACAATCCTCTTCACGCAGGGTCTTAGCCATGCTGATGGGTGAAGCTGAGAGCAGCCGAGGAGAAAGTCCCTGAACTGTCTGGAGGCCGGCAGAACGCAGACCACCTCCGATGCATCTCCAGCTTTATACTCTAATCACAAAGCACACTAAGGGCACGGTTCGTCCTCAAACCAGACTGATATGGAGTTAGAAGTTCTACAGCCTGGCGCTCATCATGACTTGTGTGATGCTGAGGACCCAAGTCTCCAGGCCTTAATCTGCTCAGTGGGGATCGCAAAACTTCCAGGCCCTTCGTCAGATCTCCTACAAGGACCATGCCACAGGAGATGCCTCCTAAAGACTGCAGTTTGCTGTCTTATCATTGGCCCCAGAGCCGACTCCTGGGGAGAGCAGCCCGTTGGTAGAAGAAATCTGGAAAAGGCAGTGGAAAGCGTATTGGCATCTGAGCACAGAGCCTGTCGTGTGCTTCCCCCCTTCTTCACCCCTTCTTCATCCTCCTGCTCAGTGTCATCTGAGCCTCTCCCAACAGCAGCAAATGTGGGGACGGCAGGTAAAGATGGCATGGGCGGCCTCAAAGCCTGGCAGGTGAATGGAACTTCTCAAGCAACCGGTCTTTAACTCTTTTAAAACATATGTGAAATGAAGTCAACTCCTAATTATGTGGGCTCATGGAGGGGAACAGCCAGCCAATCATCAATAGGCAGGCTCCGAATCCCTGCTGGGCATCAGCCTCATCTGGAATTCAAAGTTGTTCACAGTGAGCTTTTGGGATTCCCTCCCTGGTTGTACACACTCCCTTTCAGGTATGCTTTTCTGAGGCTAATAATGAAATTAGTCACATGATGGGATGGGCTATGGGAACTAGATCAGAATTTTCTGCGCCAGTCTGGGGTTCAAAATGCGATGCAAACAATCCACAAAATGAACATTCCAACCTCAAAAATCAGGAGGCCATTTTACTAGGTTTTTTTTTTTTTTTTTTTTTTGAGATGGAGTCTCACTCTGTCATGCAGGCTAGAGTGCAGTGGTGTGATCTGAACTCACTGCCACCTTTGCCTCCCGGGTTCAAGCAATTCTCATGCTTCAGCCTGCTGAGTAGCTGAGATTATAGGTGCACACCACCATGTAGAGAGAAGGTTTCGCCATGTTGGCCAGGCTGGTCTTGAACTTCTGACCTCAAGTGATCCTCCCGCCTCGGACTCCCAAAGTGCTGTGATTATAGGCATGAACCACTGCTCCCGGCCTCCATTTTACTAGTTTCTATGTAGTGACTATTGTTCTATCAAATAGGGAGAATGTATGTGTGATAAAAGAGCCCTTTATCAGGAAATTATTTTAAAGGACAAGTTTATGTTCTAAGTAAAGGCACGTATTTAGACGGAGATTTAAAGAGAAGAGCAAAGCATTCTCAGCTCCCTCTTTTGTGGTTTTCTATTTTAAATCTGTCATTCAGCAAAGCCGCACAGCAACGGACTCTGAGCAGGAGCCTCCCATCAGCGAGGGCCAGCCCGGGGCTGCCCACAGAGTTACCGCACTGGTTTGGAAATCAGAGAAGAGCTGGCCCAACTATTCCAGGTGAAAAAACTGAGCCCAGAAAACAGAACCCATTCAGTGGCTGATCTCATGGGCCCTTCTACCTTCCTATCAGCCAATTATTCTACAAACCTAACTTGTGTTGTGTTACACATGAGATCTCAACTCCCCTGTGAGTGAGCTTTATGAAACGTTTTAGAGCTGAATTTTCTCTCTTTTGAATCAGGTTGTTATAAACAATTTATGCTCCATAGTTGCAATTAGAAAATGAAAACATCTTCGTAAACAAAAGAAATGTGGTTGCCGTGGGCCATTTATCCTCCACTGTCCTCACTAAAGTCTGGTACAGTTAGAACTCTGGATTATAACTTTATATACAAGCCTTGGCTTCTTAGTGGTCTGTCCCTAAGATACACAACTTTTGATTCCTTCAGCATCTAGTCCTGATTGAGCTACTGTTCTTTCTGGTCACTGACACAGGCCCCAGGCAAGCAAACGTACAACGGAATAGAAAACACAGAAGAAGCTGCAGGTGGGGACTGTATTCCAAAGCGAAAATCACCCTAGACTTCCCCGGGTCGGAGGAGACCTGGTCTGCAGGTGCACTGCAGTGAGTTTCAAGTAATGAAGGGCTATTACTTTCCATGGCACTACAGAGGTGGTGTTTTGTTACATAAATAAATCAGTATCAAAATATTATCTTGACTTGTAAATACTGAAATATGACAATGTATTCATCCTAATGAAAAGATGATGGTGTTTTAATAGAAACTGCAATGATAAGGGAAAAAAGCCACATAAACCATCTATATATTTCTGTTTGTTTGAGACAGGGTCTGGGTCTGTTGCCCAGGCTGGAGTGCAGTGGCACAATCACAGCTCACTGCAGCCTCATTCCCCCTGGCTCAAGTGGCCCTCCTGCCTCAGCTTTTGAGTAGCTGGGACAACAGTCATGCCTCACCATGCCTGGCTACATTTTGTATTTTTTGTAGAGACAGAGTTTCACTGTGTTGCCCAGGCTGGTCTCAAAGCGATCTGCCTGCCTCGGCCTCCCAAAGTGCTAGAATTACAGGTGTGAGCCACTGCACCTGGCCATAAAGGTTTCATATACCACATCCTTCTGTGCAGAGGA